TCTCCGTCCCATCGAGTGAAGAGACCGTCAGAATTGAATGGTTTGTCGGGAAAGAGTGGCGCCAATGACGGCACACAAAGCGAAGAGACCCTCTCGGATAGGGCCGACTCGTCCAGCAATGACGGCAGTAACGTGTCATCAGTGAGGGGTCGAGTCGGCGGTGCCCTCAACTCGCCATCGGCTCCCCGTAAGACATCACTCGGCAATTATCACTGTTTTTAACGCCGATGTCTATCATTATGGATAGGTCTGGACGTGTCGTCGGCTAACCTAAAGCGATGGATCCAAGAGAACAATCTGGAGATGTTGGAGGGGGTGGTGATGGAGGGCTACGGCACTCGGCTTAAGGAGAAGGCCGAGTACTTTACCGACGACGACAGCGCCGACTCTATGCTATACATATCGGAAATGGTGCCCAAAATGATGAACAAAATCCGTGTGATTCATGCGGCCGTCTCGTGCGGTGATCTGCTCGGCCTTCAGGACGGACTCGACGAGAAGAATGATTACGTTGTGGCCAAAGACCACTTGGGAATGGCTCCCATTCATAAGGCGACTATTATGGGACACATCGATGTGGTTGAGTATATACTCGACAAGTTTCCCGATACCGTCAACTTGAGGGACAAAGAGGGCCGAACAGCCCTTCACTACTCCGCCGCCACCACTAATCGCAACGGCAGTAAAATATATAAGATTCTCATCAGAGCCGGAGCTGATCCACGGATTAGAGATTCCGTAAGTGATTGATATTTTATAATTATTATTTAGTTTTAAATTAGGTGATAGATATTTAAATTAAGTTCATTAACACAAACTTATTGTATACCATTTGATTCAAGTCCGTGTTATGTACTTAACATGATTGTCAATTTGTGAAAATGTATTTTGCCATTTTAAGTGCCCGTATATAACACGTCTAGACTCTACAGTAAAGTCCATTTCTAAAAGTATTTTACATGATTTCAACAACATTTTTGTACTTAAAATGTCAACTCATTTATTAATAAACTCTTTGATTGCGTGAAACTTGGCTTTAAAAATAGTTTTAAAACTCAAAACAAGTCCAAAACACATATAGAAAACACTTATTAATTATTAAATTTCAAATATAATGCAAAATATATGGCATGTCGTGTAGTAATGGAGACATTCATTGCAAATATAACTGAATTTTAATATTAAATTAGTTTTTTCTAATGTAATGAAAGTGGTTTTATTGTAGTGTTTTGTCATGTCTTTTGTATTCAAATAGAGAATTAAAACAATTACTGAAATGCTGTTATCAAAGGAAATACTTCCCGAAAGAAAAAATCAATTTATTAGATAAATAACTGAAATGCAAATTAATATTAGAACTCATAACTAGTGAATACATTAATTGTCATAATAATCATAATATGGGTTAATGTTGTAGAATATTCCGTATAACTCT